CGGCTGTGACTATATTTTGTTTACTGAACGCAACCGTCCTCTCCATTGAAGTGAAGTTCCAGGGGTGTTAGTACCTTCAGATGTCTACCATTTTCCAGAAGCCCAAATTAATACTCATTTTACATCATTTGGCGACTATCTATCCCAGGGCCTCTTAACTGACTACAGTTCTTGTTTTGACATACGCATTTATTAGATGAGTCGTTTCTCGCTTTACTTAATTTAATCGACTAACGCTTTTTGATAATTACTAAGGGCTACGTCAGAAATATACATATAAATTTTAATATCAATGAATGTGGAAATTCTAGACTGTTTTCCAGACACTTTTATTCATGTATATTGTGTATAAATAAACACTCCGCGAGACAGATTAACTACAGTTATGCTTGAACTTTCAGGTCATAGATGAGGATGACGTGTCCATCATCTCAGATCTATCATCCGATTCGTCACTCGATAGTTTTATCCATGATAAGCGCCTATCACGTTCTCCCAAAAGTCGAGAGGTATGTAACTAACTTGTATAGTCCAACTTCATCACATTTACTGAACAGGTAAACATGACCATGTGTACCATGTGCAAGGTTGTCTGTTTGTTAACTGTCAGAGCCGGAGAATATTATTATTCAGTTTTACGGTTCAGTCAGACTTTCAAAGTGATAAATTATTTGCAGTTTATTGTATTTTGGCCCATTTTTGTTAATTGAATTGAGTATTTTAAGTTTATAGAAAGGAAGCACTTTCGTCTCTGTATTGCTTCGTCAGATCTAGTTCTTCAAACCATCTGTCTGTCAATTGGGAGAAGTATAAAATATCAGAACCACTGGCAGCGTTGGCCCTCCTATGTGTATAATAATACTGTTATAAAATTATATATATTAGTAATACCATATACAGTTAATCAGTGATTTTATAGTCCTTTCCAATTCATTGCGCCCTCTTCCGGGAGAGACACTATCATCGCGCCCTCTGCCGGGAGACACAGCTTTTCCGAGACATGGAAATAGTAGATGAGTCGTTCGTTATTTGGTACACAGAAAATGAATAAAAAGTATTTTTTATGACGGCTTCTTTTCATCAATCTTCGTCACTGAATTGCTTCATCGCTTGAGGGTGCGTTTAAAGCTAAATCCGTAAACGTCTGTTCAGTAGGGTATACGAAGTCAAGACGGACCGAGGCACCCATGCTCGGTGGGATTTCAGACGCCAATAATACACCAGCCGTCACCAGAATCGTTGGCCATTTTAGCGGGGTATATTCACCAGAATAGAATTCGACTAATAGAGTTGTTTATGAGAGTCGATAAACATAAAAACTGGAAAGTGAGTCGGATGAATTTTCAACGCTGTATTGCTGAGGTAAGACATTCTGTATATCATTTTAACGTAGATTTTAGAGGTTTCTCCTCAGTATACCGCAATGCATGACGGTAGTGTCTAAAGATGTCACTTATGTCACATTGATTGGCGGAATTGCAGTTTCTGTATGATAACGACGAGCATTTGAAAACTGTCGTGGGTTGAAGGATTTTCTGAAAAATAATTGTGAATAAATTACAGAAAAATATGTATAATGACTGATTACTGTAAAAGAAAGTGAGAATACGTGAATACAATATTTGCCAAAAAACAAAACAAAAAAATTACTGGCATAATAAAACAAATCAATATGGATTAGTTTGAGTATTATTGAGCATGTCAAAATATTTGTTCCCGAAAGTTCATTCTGTTTATGTATATTAAAAATAGGATGTGTTGTTTTCGTGAATTGAAACTTTTGCCGTTGTAGCAAACCTAGCGCATGCGCACTAGATTTACATACACGCCGGCGTAAAACATATGTTTACGATAAATCATACATACCCTAATGCGTTATTTATCAAGATGCAAAATGAGACACAGTTATTTAAACATGCTATACAATTCACAAACAGATCCGCATAACCCCTGTAATTACTGTCCACAGGAATTACGTAAACTATTGTTATTTGCTCCACTTTATTGTCAAAGTAACTGAGATACGTTGCTATATCATTATAACCCGATGCAGGCACATATACCAATGTCAGACGAGGCGCTGGACGAAATCATGAGAGTGCTAGACACCGATGAAACGGGCGAGTTGGATTATCGCAGACTCGTTTATGCAATGAAGCAGTACAAAGAGGAAATGAGAGAACTTGTGAGAGAGAACAGTAGTGCAGGTGAAATATAATATGCAATTTTGGTTACTGTAGGATAATTTGGGGGAAAAATCGATGTGTGCTCAAATAATTATAATAATAATAAATAATTACGTAATAATTGGATGGACCATACGTATTATCGGGTGCAAAAATAAATAAAAAAATAAAATTATTGTATAGGTCTCTATGGGGAAAGAAACTTATGAAATGAATTTGCACGACCGCAACTTAAAATCTGAACCATATTTTGCAGAAATACTAATCCACCATTTAAAATTGTTTCCATTTTTTTCAGAAAATGGCAATGATCTGGTGAATGAAAGAGAATATTCCCCAGTGAGATCTAGAAGTCAATCTTTCACTTGTTTATCGAGAGAGTCGTCTACGTTGACCCCGACTCCACCTTTCAGGGGTTCCATGATTTCTCCGTCCCGGTTATCACCCACTGCACGACGGGCACATTCAGCGTCTTCTGCCAGAAGCAATCATGATTCGATCGGTGACGGTGAGGACACTCCGGTGAACAGCGACCTACTGTTTGTACCACCGCCAGATTTATCGGAGCAAATAGCGATGAGTCCCGATGACCTGATCATTAAACGAAAACGCGAAAAGGTGTTCAATAAAATGGTAAGTATTTTGTATTAGGCTTTTAAAAAACGGTTTCAGCTATTTTAATTTTTTAATGAACAAATACAAGAAAACATCAATATAACTGGAAATAAAAACAAGATTTTAAAGACAATTAAAAACCCTTTCAATGTACGCGCGTATATGTACGGTTGAATTTTTTTCTGGGCCTTGCCCTGTTGGTTGTATATCGTCAATACAAGCTGCCGCGACTAACTGTTCAGTTTTCCGATAATATTTTATATTTTAATTTAAATCCTAATTCGACATTCATTACGTTACAAACAAAAATGAAAGTTACGTATCTTGAAATGCATTACGTAATGTATCATATCAGCGGAGACCTCTGTATTGATTTATTTCTAGGTAATTTTGTTTTCCATAACATCTTCTATTTGAAAATTTCATGAATTAATGATCGTGTGAGATTAGATAACTTGATTTGAAACTTGCAATAGTACATGTGTATTCTGGATCTCCTGAAACAGTACACCGCTTAGGCTAGGTGGCGTATTTAGTTTTAGTGGTCTTCCAAGAGTTAAGAATAAGTCCCTCGCCAGAAGCACAAC